TTTCTCTGACTTATTTCACTTAGCATAATACCTTCTAGTTCCATCCATGTTGTCGCAAATGGCAGGATTTCATTCTTTCTCATTGCCAAGTAGTATTCCATTGTATATATAAATCATGTTTTCTTTATCCACTCATCAGTTGATGGACATTTGGGCTCTAATAGCACTACTAGCAATTTATCCAAACGATACAGGAGCATTTTTCTTTACAATGAAAGGTCTAATTAGAGGCGCCTGGGTCGCTCAGTCGGTTAAGCGTCCAACTTTGGCTCAGGTCATGATCTCACAGCTCGTGGGTTCAAGCTCCGTGTTGAGCTCTCTGCTGACAGCTCAGAGCCTGGACCCCACTTCAGATTCTGTGTCTCCCTCTCTCTCTGTCCCTCCCCTGCTCATGCTCTGTCTCTCTCTCTTTTGAAAATAAACATTAAAAATTTTTTTCTAAAGAGAAAAAGAAAGGTCTAATTATATTCTGGTCAAATAATAGAGAAAACAAATTAAATCGTGTCTGTTAGAAGTGAAAATTTATATAATGAACAATTAGTAAAAATAAACATTTGCAAACTAATGAGGTAAGGGGGAGGGACAAACATGAACAGAAACTTCACTGAGCTATTAGGAAGAAGAAAAGGATAAAAGTTGTATTTAGGAAATAGTAAAATCAGTAATAAGCACAAAACAAAAAGATAAAATTATCATAATTATACAAATTGAAATGGACTGAATCTCAAGACACTAATGTGGGATTAAGAAAAAAAACATACACAGTTACAAAAAGTGTATCTTAAAGATAAAAATGCAAAATAAAGATTTAGGCAAAGATACATAAGGTGAGTGGCAGCAAAATAAAAGCAGCAGTGGTGATGTACTTATCAAATTAAACTCAAGGTTAAAAGCATTCAAACAAGGAAAAACAAAAAAAGACAAAACAAGGAAAATACATAATGTCATGCTGCAATATGGCCTAAGATATACAATTTAGGATGCTGCTTCCCCCCCCCCCGCCACCCCCACAAAACACAGAACCACAAGGAGAATGTGTTTTAAAAGATTATTGCATTTATTGTATCTTTTTGTAATATAACAGCTGAAGTAGACAAAAAAAAAGAATCAGAGTAAAGAAACATTAATCATCAAACTAGATTGAAAGCCTTAATGAATAATCTGTACCTAGCAAAGAATATATTTTCTTCTCTTATATCCATAAGTTTTTCAATTCAGTGGAATATATGACCTACAAAGAAAATCTTTTTTTTTTTCAAAAAAAATTTTTATGCTTATTTATTTTTGAAAGAGAGACAGAGTGTGAACCAGGGAGGGGCAGATAGAAAGGGAGACACAGGATCTGAAGCAGGCTCCAGGCTCTGAACTGGCAGCACAGAGCCCGTCAGCAGGGCTTGGGAACTCCACAAAGCCAATAAGGAGAGAAGAGACCAGCATCTGTCGTGACACTCAACCGACTAAGCCACCCAGGCACCCCTACAAGTTTAGATTCAACAGGCCACATTCTCTGATCATAGAAAAATCATAATTACAAAAAGAAAGAAAAAATAATGAATACTTAATAGACACTAAGAAACTTTCTTCAACAGCTAGGATCAAAGTGAGAAATCAATTCTGAAGTTTCACCTTTCATACCAAAGTTCAGGAGCTATAAGTGCATTTAGAGGAAAGTGTGTGGCCTGAAATCCTTTACTATATCTATCTATATCTATATCTATATCTATATCTATATCTATATCTATATCATCTATATCTATATCTATCTATATCTATTTATTTATACTTATATAAACAGGAGACTGAACTGTTATAACTGAGTTAAGTGTTTATAACTGTTATAACTGAACTCTATAACTGAGTTAAGAATTTGCTTCAAAAGATCAGAACAAGAACAAAGAAATGAAGTAAACATATGAAAATGAAACACCAAACAAAATATCAAGAAGCGGGAACTAATAAAAATGAAAGTTTAAATAAATAAAATAAATATAAGGAATATGAATAAATTAAAAAGCCAGTTCTTTTAAATAACCAGTTAATTATGTGGCTTAGCCCCTGGAAAATCTGATCAAGAGAAGTACAAAAGTGCACTAATTAGTAATTTAAAGGGGAGACATTACATGAGGTTAGGTAGTAATATAAACTAACTATGGGGGACTATTGGGTATAAGTCAAGAGCAACATACCTAACCATTTAAGTGAAATGTGTGAGTCCCTGGAAAAAAGGAATTATGAAGATTAATGAAAAAAATCATAAGGGACCAGTGAGTAGAGAAAAGTTAAGAAAAGTGTTCAAGTCTCTCATTTCAAACATACCAGTACCCACAGGCAGCATTATCGGACACACCTCCACAGGAGACCTGCCTGGGGCTGACAAAGGCAGATATGGCAGAGGTCTCAGTCTTCCTCTGGCAACTCCATAGGTGTGAAATGGTCATGACCACAAGGGGCTTCAATGTACAGGGCAGGCTGGAAAGGACAGACCCAGAGCAGTGTGGTGGAGGGAGCAGGAGAGGATGTGATAGGAAGTGCTGGGGGAGACAGACCAGGACTGGACTGGCAGGGGCCAAGGCTGACAAAAAGAGCTGGGACCTCATATGATAATAAGGTGTGGAACAACATGGGCAGGGGCGTGACTGCCATGATACCTTGAATCCTCCTCAGTGTCCCAAAGTGGAATCATCAGGGGGGGATTATCCTACACTCATCTATCTCGCATCCCATTTTTGTAACACCTTTGGCCTGGGGAATATTAACGACTGCATAGAAGTTGATGAATGGGCTGTGCACTAATCAGGTGCCAACTACACGTCTGATGGCCTAGAATGGGGGACTGCCAGGAACAAAAGCCATTGGCGCCTTCTTTATAAGGTCATAGCTCCCCTGACAGAAGAGGGCCCACTGAGCCCTGCCTGAGTGGGTGTCACTTCACAGCCACTCTGCATGTGCACTGCAGCCTCCTCCTAAGTACAGTTGCACTGCCACCCACCGCCATCAGAGGTTTGAAATTGGGTTTGTGGCCAGAGAAACAGGTTAGAGGGCAATCAGGGGATATTAATATCCTTTGTTCTTCCAAAGTTTGTCAACAAAATTCTGGACAGTGGGGGATGAAGGCAGGGCAGATCCTTGGCCCTGCCAAGTTTCAGGGAAGAAAGAGAGAGAGGGATGGGGAATGATGGCAACAGAGAGCGATTTTGAGGACCCCTTCCCATCCAGGGGCAAGCAGAGACAGGAGACCAAATGGCGAACAGAGAAACACAGAGAAACTCTAAGATGACCTAAGAAAAAAGTGGATATAGGAACTAGTGTGTGAAGAATTCATTGAGTGTCTCCCTTGCACGGAGTGTTGGGTACAGGATCTCAGTCAAGCAGGGCTCAGCTGTCTGCTTTGGAGCGCAGGTCAGTGGTGAGCGGGTCATGCTGGACTGTCTGGTGAAGCATCAGGGCCAGAAGCCCTGCCCGGTTTGTCATAGCTGTGCGCACCTTGTGCTCCTGCTCAAGTAGCTCTTCCAGCTTGTTCAACTGTGGGAGGTAAACATGAGAGAAGGATTTCAGGATGCTATCCCACCCTTTCAGCCCCAGTCACCATTGTGGCCTACCATGCGAATACGCTCTAGGTCCACCTCAGCACGCCTCAGCTTCTCCCAGCAATAGTGGAGGTTGCACGCGCGTTTAGGTAGGCGACAGAAATTACCAGTGAACTCAAAGACATTGTGCACTAGTGGGCAACCGCACACCTCATCATCTGATGCCTGTGAGGAAGAATAAGGGATGATGAGGTACAGAGGAGGATAGAAATGGAGTGATCAGGCAGGCATTATGAGGAGAATGGGAAATGGAGGGCACTCTGGCAGGAAGGAGAAGAATGGGGAATAACTCAGCGGGGGTGGGGGGGGGGGAGAAAGGAATTCAGGGATTAGGTAGAGAAGAGGAGGCAAAAGGGGAATTATCCTGCACAGAAGATGAAGGAAGAAGTTAAATAAGCAGGAATAGAGGAATGGAGGTGATCAGGCAGAAAAGATGGAAGAACAGAAAGAGATCAAACCAGAGTGAGAGTAAGGATGGAGGGAAGGTCTGACAGAGAGAAGTAGATGGAAGAGGGTTGGTAAAGCATGGAAAAAAAGTGAGGAATGAGACAGGGAGGGTGGGAGTAATAGGGGTTGGCTAAACAGGGAGGAAGAAAGGATTTAGGAGATGACAAGAAGGGAGAAGATGACTGGAGGCAGTGAGGCATGCAGAATAAGAACGAAGGAAAGTCAGAAAGTAAGGAAGAGAGGGAGGTCATACAGGGAGGAAGAGAGGAAGGTGGGACAGTCCAGCAAAGGGTGGGAAAGGAATGTATGATGGTCAAGCAAGGAAAGGAGAAGAATGGGGAATGGTTATACAGTGAGGAGCAAAGGAAACAGAAATGGCCAGGCAGAGAGGAGGGAGAGAGAAATGTAGGGGGGTAGGTCAGGCAGAGAAAAAGTAAGAACAGAAAGTAATCAGCCAGCAAGGAGCAGGGAATGTGGGGTGGTCAGAAAGGGAGAAGGGGACACATGGGAGTTGGTCAGAAGATATGAAGGCAGTCAGGCAGAAGGAAGAAAGAAATAGGAGGCAATCAAGCAAAGAGGAAGAGAGGAATATGGCAGGGAGAAGGGGAGGAATGAAAGATGATGAGGTAGGGAAAGAAGAATCACCTTGGGATCTCTCGAGTGCTCAGGACACAGCACCTGAAGCCGCTTACAGTACCTCTTACTCTTTGGGTTGTAAACATCACAGAAGAGCCTGGTGGCCCTGGGGGGAGGATGAAAGTGAAGTGCTAAGGGTCAGAAGAAGGGAGGTCCCACCTGAACCCCAAAGCCCATATTTTGTCCCTAACCCCACCCATACCCTGCCACTAACCTATCCACCTCTGCCTCTGAACACACCCTCTGATCTTTCCCACCCTGCTCCTGACCCTGTCCACATCATGCCTTTGACCTCAACTAGCACCCACACTCACCCTTCAATGCAAGTGGGATACATGGACCCGAAGGACGACTTGCCTTCATACTGGGAAGAAAGAGTACAAATGGGAGAAACTGTGGACTTACACAGCATGCCCTCCCATGACAAGCCCCAAACAAGCCCACATTTGTCCCTGTGGCTCCTATGCTCCTGTCTGCCCAGCCAATGTCCCCCCTCACCATTGGCTGATGTTCCAGTCTTGGCCCTCCTACTAAGGATGGAAGAGAAGCACAAATGGGTAGAACCATGGATGTGTGTTGCATTTTTACAACAAACACCCAGGCACCAAACATGCCCTCCTCCTCATGGATCCCACCCAGCCAAAAACACGTTTACCTCCTCTTCCCCCAGCCAATTCACTAACCTTGACAAAACAGTGTTCCATGTGGCGCAGGGCGACATGCATGTTAATTGACTGCCCGCAGGAGACACAGAAGATCTGCAGGTTTGCATTGTTCCTGTTACTTTTGTTGATCTGCACAGGACAGTGGAAGGGCCAGTGAAGAGTGGGCAAGATAGCAAATACCTTTCTGCTCCATCCCACCCACTCCCACGCACCTCCTCATCCTTGCACACAGGCTGCTGCTTGCCACGCAGAATTATGGCCTCAAGTTCATAGAAATGGCACTCCATGTCCTTCAGGCGGGTGTGAGTGTCCTGCTGCTCTTGGTGGATGCGCTCAAGCATTTTCTTGCCACGCTCCTCAGCAATACAGGGGCTCTTCTGCCACTGCTGGATGCGCTGGGGCAGAATCGCATAGATGCGGCTAGAAAAGGAGGCAACAAGAAATGGAATGGGTAGGTAGGGACATCAAAAGAAAAAATGGGTGAGTGACCGAATGGTGGTGAACAGGTGATTGAATGGTGGATGGATAGGTGGGTAAATGACTATAAGGATGGATGCGTGGGTTGGTGGATGGAATGTGTATGGGTGGTTCAGTGGGCAGGTGACTGTAAGGGTGAATGGATGGATGGGTAGGTGGATGAATGGTGGGAGGATACACAGGTAGAGGGATAGACAGACTTACGGATGGCATATATTATGCCCTACTCCACACCCTGTCGCTTAACTTCACTCACTCAGCTGCGAGCTTCATGCCACAATCATCTGAGCAGTACTTGGAGCCTGGCCGGGTAGGATACACACAGCCAGGTCCCAGGCACTGCCGCAGCGAGGTCAAATCCTTGGCATCTGCCTTCTCTTGGTGTTTACGCTTTGACATGAGCTTTTGCTGCTTCTTCTTCTTCTCTTTCTGTGGGACAAGAGTGGTCAAGGCAAGGATAGGAGAGTTTATGTCAGCTTCCTAACCTTGCAACCCAGCCCTGTGTTCCACCCGACCCCTGTCTTCATGCCCCCCATTCCACCATTTCTGTCGCCTTGCACTCCACCTTTTTATTCAACTTCTTTGTCTTCACTTTCACTGCTGCTTTCTGCATTGCAGGATCCAGGAGCGGAAACTTCTCAGTGTCACTCATCCAGGACTGTAGGCCAGGAAAATGCTGGCAGGTCTTCTCAACTTGTTTCTTAAATGATACTTGGACACTGCCTCACTTCATTCTCCAAACTGATGACCCTCTCTGTCTTCACTGTCCCCTCCTTTCCACCCAGAGGCCTGCCATACACTTATCAGGCTTTGTCTAAAGTCCCCTCTCCAAATGTCCTGGCATAGGTTTCAGCCCTGAGGAAGGTCCTTTTCAGACAACAGCTGGAGTGAGGCTGTTATCTGAGAGGCCTCTTTTATTGCTAATGGCACTGCCAGCACCTGGTACTTCTGGGACAGCCTGGACTTCTGCATTCCAAAGTAGGAAGCTGTGGTTGAATGGGCAGTGGGCAGTGTGAAGGGCAAACCCTTGCACTAGCTCCACTCCCCCATCCACCCTGTGTCCTAAACTCACCAGAGACCAGGAATTACAAGTAGGGCTCCTGTGATGATAGGAGGAGGACTCTGGATCAGCACTGAGTGGAAACAGACTTACCCTGTCCCAACACTCCTGGTCCCACCTTCTGGCCAACATGGCCAGGTCCCACTGCACCTGCCTGGGACTGAATGGCACCACCTGTCCCTGCTTGCCCACTTTATCCAGACACACCTGGCTGGTCCTTCTCACCCCCATTTTGCCCACCGAAATGCATAAAGCCCTGCCTATCTGCCCAAAAAGGCTGGACTACACTCCTTCACAGTTGGTCAATACAGCCTGCCCTGCCCCATCCTTCAGGACATACTTGCAACCCTGCTTGCCCTGTACCATGGACCCAAATAAGCCACCTCTGCCTAGCCCACCCAAACATGCATGACCCCACACCTCAGACATGCTCCACCCACCTGCCTGCCCTACCCAGTCTCTCCAGGCCCCGCCTGCCAGACTGCCCTCTTGGACACATTCTGTCTCACCTTACAGTCCCAGCCCTGTGAGCCCCATACACTACGCCAAGGCATACCTAACCCTGCCTCATACAAACATACAAGGCCCTTCCCTCTTCCCAGACTCTCTCAGCCTCATTTGATTCTCCCACTTCCTGTACATACCCAGTTCTGCCTTACCTTCCATTTCCTAGGCCATGCCAAGCCCTATCCACCCCCACTCCCCACATGCACATGCCAGATCATGACCTGTCTGCCCTGACTCACTTACCTAGAATAATTTTGTGATCTTTATTCTGAAAAGTACTCCTATGTGAACCCAGTGACACCAAGTAAAATATATAAATATACAAAAATTTTGAAAATTTATGTGTGTGTGTGCATATATAGACATAGATATGCACACACACATACATTTTGTATATACACATATATATGTATACACACACACAAATCACTTTCAGTGATTAAAAGAGCAGGCACACACACTGAAAGAATATACACTTTTGAATAAGACTATTATCAGTTGGAGAACTCACACTATTATTGAGCTAGAGATATAATATTAATAAAAAACTGACCCTGAAATTAGCCTTAAAGGAAGTCTGAACACATTCCAATGAATGAGCATCACATAAGGCACAAATAAGTTGCATTTGAAATTAATAAACGGTTTAACTTTTGAAAATTGAAAAGGCACTTTTAAGTAACTCTTGGTAAAAAGTAAAATAACTGAAATTGGAAAAAACTTATCACTTAATAAGACCGAAAGCAATACATACCCAAATGTGGAACTTTAGGACAAAAATATGAGAAAAGAAAGACGGAAATTAGTGACCCCTTGCTTTCAACTCAAACTGCAAAGAGTCACTATCCCGACTCCAACCCATTACCTGACCCCACCATTACCAACGCCAAAATCCACTTTAATGACCCACACACACACCTCTCCAGTCACAGAACCTACAGTCCCTCTTCAAAACCCTTAAAAATACCTCAGCACCGAACAGACGCTTAACTGTCCGGAGCCTCCAGGCAAGTGCCGTGAAATGGTTGACAGAGCTACTTCCGGTTCCGGTAGCGACTTTAGCTCCGCCCCTTCCTGGATGTGTTGGGTTTCTGCTTGCTCAAGGTCCTCTGCAGAGTTGATATACAGACAAAAGTTAGAAGAACATGGTTACAAAGAAATGATACAGCTACACGTGTGCCATTCTTCAGAACGTCACCTCAGGCCTACATGGATACATTTGTCTCTTCTGGCGTCAATACCAAGTTTCATATATTGGAGTGATTGATCATTGCATTATTGTATATGACAGGAAAATTGATCCCGTTATCATTTCCGGTTATTTTGAATAATTTCGTGTCATTACTATTTTACCATCTTCTATTATTTTAATTGTGTAGTAAGCAATGAGAAAAACAAACAAAAACACACAAGTCAATTTTTTAGTCAAGAAAAGAGAAAAAGATTTATAGAAAAGCCAGGAAAAAAAGAAATCAAAATGTAAGAAAGTAGGAATAAGTTCACATTTCAAGTTCATATTTTATTACATAATCAGTAATAAAAAGTTATTAATGGGGTAAACTCTCCAGTTAAGGTCAAAGATCGCCATTTTGGATGAAAAATAACAAACCTAGTCATATGCTGTTTATGCCAAACTTAGCAAATCATTAAGATACAGAAACATTTGAAGCAAAGGGATAGAAGAAAATTTTCTAGGTACATGCTAATCAAAATGAAGCAAGGTCGGGGCGCCTGGGTGGCTCAGTCGGTTGAGCGGCTGACTTCGGCTCAGGTCATGAACTCACGGCTCAGGTCCGTGAGTTCGAGCCCCGCGGCGGGCTCTGTGCTGACAGCTCAGAGCCCGGAGCCTGTTTCGGATTCTGTGTCTCCCTCTCTCTGACCCTCCCCCGTTCATGCTCTGCCTCTCTCTCTGTCTAAAAATAAATAAACGTTAAAAAAAAATTAAAAAAAAAATGAAGCAAGGTCAGTTATTTTAATATCAGACTAAAGAGACTAAGACAAAAAGTTATTCATTGGGATTGAAAAGGTAATTTCAAAATGACATGATTCACCATGAATATGTAAAAAAATTCAATCTTAAGGGGGCGCCTGGGTGGCGCAGTCGGTTAAGCGTCCGA